AGAGAGAGAGAGAGTGAGACGGGAAGAGCAAAAGAATTATAACAAATACACGCAGCTCTTTGACCTCTTTTGATCGCTCGACATCTCTTTATGGTTGCACCAACATTAATTAAATATTTTCAATTTTTTGATAAAATTTATATTATAATACACTTTGGTGAACTTATTTAGAATTATATACTTTATATACTTTACAAAAATATATATGTGTAAATAAATATGCAATTATCGGAATAACATATATATATATATATATTTTTTTTTTCAATATTATGTGATAATTGCTGGATTATATTTTGTACACAAGTTTAATCGACTGTTGGCGCAATCACTTTTTTCCTTTTTATCTTTGCCTTCTCTTTTGATCGGCACGCGTTGCTCAAAGCACGCTTTGGTTCCACGTTAGTCAGTTATCTTTCTGTTTGTTTTAATTTAGTAATAATAATAAACACGTTTGATTAAACCAAATGAGTTTGATAAAGAAAATTTTTTTCTATCACGTATGAGAAAGTAATTTTGTACAAAATGTTAATTAAATTTTTTTCAAAACTTATGCAAAACTTAAATTTGAATTTAACCAGAAATCCATTAGATCTTTCATTATTTGTAATTATGTAATATGTGATTAAGCTATTCATATAAAATTTTAGAATAGTAATTGAAGCTTCTACGCATGAATACTAGCTGTTTTTTTTATTTGATTAAGATGATTGAAACTAATATACTTATTTAGTTAACATTCTTATTCAGTTTTTCTATAATAACTTTAATTTATAATCTTGTTGATATACTCATTATTTTCAAAATCAATATGTATTTTATTTTATTCTTGGTCTTATAATACTTATCATTATACAGATTTTTAAAATAGATTTAGATTTCATAAAGATTTTATTTATTTATTTCATATGTGTTTAATATCATTAAATTTGAGGGACACTTTTTTGGATTATTGTATTGCACAATTATAAACGGAAAACCCCCTAAATATCACGATTAAGAAATGCAATTTATCATGTTGTTTTCTATTTATATAATCTATAATTGCATATGTCTATTGCATTTTGATAAATGTAGGCTACATTTCATTTTCTAATTTCTGCTTTTGCCAATTTACACTTTTTCACTTATAGGGTGCTATTTTTACTTAGATTAATTATATAGATTTTTTTAAATACATTCAAAATCATTTTTTTAAATTATGGTTAAAAAAATAATCAAATTTTTATTAAAAATTGATCTAATCCAAACTTATGTAGGACATATTACATATTGAAATAGCAGTACTGTTCAAATATTCTACATCCTTGAATTTCATGGAATTCTTATGTAGTAGCTTATTTAGAATTTTTGCGCAAATATATGTATAAACGTACAGTTCAGATCATTGATGATATTAGTTTTGATGTCCGAAAAAGTTTTGGTTTTCCTGCGCATTATACATCTTATCATACCATTTTCTGAATATGGCTCTTTAGAATAATTCAAAACAATTTCAAACAAATATTTGTTTTATCTATTCATTTAATGCTTATCATACCAATCAGTGAAATGCATTTACACACATATACACAACACAAACGCGCGCGTGCAGACACATACGCACATGCACACATATATGCACACGCTCAAGCTGTAAATTTTAGAAAATTTGAAATCCTTTATTCGAATAATAGGATAATGATAAATATTTTTAGATTTAGAAAAACATTTAAAAAAGTCAATCTTGCATTTTCTAATTAAATTTGATATCAATATTGATATTAGGTGAGTTACTTTTTTTTGTTAAATAAAATATCAAGCATCCAATTTATCTTTTGATAATTTTGATAATTAAGTGAAATTTGTAAGTATCGATACTCTTGAGTTTCTGTATCTAAAAAGAATCTCATATGTATTGCCACCTTTGTGAACTTGATATCTGATTTTTAATAAATTATGTTTTTATTAAAAAAGTAAATTTTTTATTGCTAAATGTTGGTAGTAATAACAATTTTACAGTAGTTCTAATTGTTGAAAAACATAACTTTGAAAAAATAACTTTCATCCGATTTTAGGATAAAAATGCTTATTAATATACTTTGATACTAAATTAACTTTTTATGCTATTGCCAATATATTGAAAATTTAATTTATGAAAAGTTAGGTGTCAAGTTCACAAAAGTGTTATGGCCTAGAAAGCCTCCTGAGTGATTACTTTCTGTAAATCGATAAATATTCTCATTTGGAACCATCACGGAGAGAAAAAAATCGTATAGAGATTCGAAGCCGCCATATTACGCTGCACTCTTATGTATTGATCGATGCATACCCGCGAAATGCGCACAGCCGCGAAGTGTCCGGCTATTCCACTTCCGATGACCTCCGCAACGCGGTTTGTTGAACTCGCACTATAAATGGTCAATATTGTTTGCAAGACTATGACACTTACCCTTTGCATATCATTGATTACAGTCCAATAAAATCATAATGAGAAATATTAATCATTAATAAATAAACTTCATTTCGAAATTAAAGGATTTATTTCATGAATTAATGTGGAAATTAAGTTTTTGTAATAAAAAGAAAAATTAATAAAAAATTATTGAATAATAAAATCCAAGATGTATGAAGGAAATTTATATGTATGTAATAATTTTCAATACTTAATTTCGTCATTAACGTAGAAAAATGTCATTGCATTTTTACATTCAACGACTGACCTATAGTATCTTTTGTTTACTTTATTAGAAGTAATTTGATGACGCAAACGATGGCGTGGTCGACTTTGCGCAGAAGCGAATGTTGTTTGCCCTATCGAATAATCACTGAACGACATCAATTTGTGTTGCTCACGCATGTTGCTTGATCAGCGTGAAGATTTTGGCGAATACATTTTTTTAAAGGGAAGCTCTCTAAGCAAAGACAAGAGAGTTGATTGTGATTTTTTTTAAACACTCAGTAGGCGGATACTTCATTTTTTTTTGTTTTTCTTATTTTCATTTAGATCCGTTTTAAGCTAAATGGAAAACGATTACTTTTCTTCAATCGAAATAATAAAGAATATTTTTTTTACATTATATTTGTGTATTATTTGAACAATAATTGGTAGAAAAAAATTCTTAGGAAAAGATTATCACGCGTGACCATGTGAACTTCGACCTATCGAGTTAATCGATTCACGTATTTTTTAGTTCGAGAGAATCTTAACAACCATTTTATTTATTTTATTCAATTTAAATTTTATTTAATTTTTTTATTTTGAAGCCTGATTCTGTAATTCCTTGCGTATGTTTTCTAAATAAGAATTTCTCTTTATAATTCTAATTTTGCAAAATTTTGCAAGATTTTTGTTTATGAAAAGAATCAATGCATGTATCCTTGCCTGACGTTTGCCTAGCATGTGATTGTCCTAAACATTATCATTACAATAGTCACAATTATTATTTTAAACATTACTTTCTCTTGCTCGATTTTATTTTTCTTCAAGACTATGCTATTACTATTAATATAATCACTATTAGTCATGCATCATGAAAACCCATAGAAAGTATAAGAACAGTATAAGAACCTTGCGGAAATAATATTTTTTTGGGGAATTAGTATAATTATTTTAATTGTTTAATGCTACATAGATGCAGGGCAGTTATTTTGTATATTTTTAAGAAATATTTGTTGTATAAACATTTAAATCTCAACGAAAAGTTTACACTTGATCTTTAATCGAATCACGAATTCATCTCTTTTATCTTTGTGATTGATTCTTAGCAAAATGTACATTATTTTTATATTTTTGCTTAATCGTTTATTATTAATTGATAGTAAAAAATACACATCAACTAATTGTCCAACTAATTGTTTTAATTTTCAATTTATTTGATTAAACATATCTTTTTAGTAGCACTAAAAAGTATAAAGTAAAAAAAAAGCGTGAAAAAGAGTGTACAACAAATTTTTCATTTGCTAATAACATATCACTGATGTTTTTGATTCAATTGATCTGTCGAGTGAGGGCTTCAGTTAAATATGTATATATATGTTTCATATTTGTCTCGCATATAATCTAATTGGCATTTTGCTAAATGTTGATTTAGAAAATTGAGAAAGTTAGCCTAATTAAATATAAATATTAAAAATAAACATAAATATACAAAGATAACATAACAAACATAAAAAAATCTGTTTGGTTTTTTTTTAAAGATTTGACATTGTAACAATACAATTTTTTCAATTTTAACTGCTAATTATATAGAATGTACGTTACGTGTATACAAAGTATTAATTATAATTCAGTTTGTGCTATGTTGAATATTCCGATGCTTTTAAATTATTTGATTTACGTCTACTCAATATTAATAATGACGCCGTAATTTTTCGTGCCTCTTCGATGCACAACGAGTAATTATTCCGATACATTTTGCAAACGCCAGCAAAAGAGAAGACTGACACTTAATTATCTTCTTCTTCTTCTTGAAGTATCGATTCAGTCAAGTACCTATCTCTACTCTGCATCATCGGCATATCGAATTCTTTCCTTACTGCAACGCGGTGCAACTAAATGTGCAATCGAATATAAATTGACCGATCAGAGTCAATGTGTAAATTCTAATGGAATAAAATGGCACCGGCGCGTTATCTTCAGTGGACCAACAGTACGATATTCCTTTTTTAAGGAATTTGTGATGTATTAACGAAGAGGCCATTTTGGCGAGTTCTTAGTTTTCTAGTCTAGCCTAAGCTGCTCGCTTATACTAGACGCATTACGCTATATTTACGGTCGAAAAACGTATTAGTTGAGATTAGTCGCGTGACGTTGGCAGAATGTAAAAACGAAAGATGTAAATTATAAAAATTATGTATTTGGAGAAATGATCTCTCTCAACGCGGACTTATCGATGAGCGATAAGCTGTACACAAGTGAATCGATTGAATACGTAATAGATACAGTGGTACACAATGGTCCACATCGACTTCATTTAACATTCCGCCAGCGCTCACGAATTGTCATGTAACTATAGGAGCCTCCAATACCGCATAAGTAGCGCCACACTAGACACGGCAGACTCACACAAAGATAGAAACACCACACCTAGCACCAAGCCAAATTTTGCGATCATTCCCAAGTCGTGCCGTCTCAACACAAGGTCAGCATTTAACGCGGAATTCCTCCCGATTCTGTTGCAGGCCCGTGGGAGTCTGGGGAAAAATTGTGGGTTCATTATGTGCGATCGCTGGTGTCCTGACGATTGCCCTACCCGTTCCCGTAATTGTCTCCAACTTCAACTACTTCTATCATCGTGAGACTGACCAGGAAGAGATGCAGTCACAGAATTTCAATCACGTGACTAGCTGCCCATATCTTCCTGGCACTTTAGGTATGTCGTAGCATTCAAAATGTAGAAATGCGTTTGATAATTTTTTATTTTATCTTTTATTTTATCTTTTATTAAGGGTTGTTTAAAAAGTTGTTTTGTGATAATGCAAAAAAATTAGATCGATGATGAGGAAAAATTAATTTCAAATTAATTTCATCAAATAATTTTTATAATACTGTAATTTTAAATTACTCTACGAAAATATTGTATTACATGTATTACATTAATCAAAAAAAATGATTATATTGAATTATAAGTAATATATATTTATTTATTTAAAACGCTTTATCAAATTCTTTTTAGACTTTATTATAAGCTTTGTATATTATCACTTTAAACATTGTTGAGAATAGATCATTATTCAAATAAAAAAAAATAAAAAATAAATGTAAATATTCAAAATATTCAAATAAAATAAAATAAAAAAATAAATGTAAACTTGTACTAAATATGTGCATATGTTTTTTTAGGTTTGAAGAAAATCTCGATGTCGGAATCCTCGTCGGATATAATGGAACTGGAGGAAGGCACCCTGTTTACTCATCCGGAGATTACGAAGAAGTCAAATTGTAATCCTCGCCACAATAACAATATCAATCCAGCCTGCATGAGCATCGAGACTGACGTCTGACTACTAGGTACGTATATCATATTTACATTACTACCGATATTGGTATCGCAACCAATATTCTTATTTTTCATCTCGGATCGATTACAGTGAAGGAGACGGTGGCAGCGTGGTGGCCATTACTAAGTCAGTTGTCAAAGAGCAACTGCATCTCCCTGCGGTGCCTGACGTAGGCCTCCTTCACTCGTCATTATAGTCGTAAGCGGCTGGCGTTGTTCGCCAGCCTGTCCAGGTTCGTCATTGCGAGGGGCGTCTTGGATAAAGAATACGGGAGGCATCAAGAATCATGATCCTCTGGGAAGCCGATCACAGGTTGCTTTTTCATCCGAGACGAGATTACGAGAAATAGAAGAGAGGTGGGGTGGGCTCAAAGGGTGTATATATATATATATATATATATATATATATATATATATATATATATATGTATACGAAGAAATGGTAGATTAAGTTCCAGCCGTTTTCGACGCCGTCGCCTTCCCCGCCATCTTCTCAGCGAGCTTGCGCCCCGCGTAAGGACCCACGAACGAAGGGGACGGGATATTCCTCGTCCGCGTGCATGCGCGCACGCGTGCGGCCCAATCCCCGACACCACCGACTCCAGTGTTCAAAAACAAAAAAAATAAAGAATATAACGGATAGATACCGAGGAAATAATCGTAGCGTCTTCGTATAAGCGCTGACGAGTATCCCCTTCCGTCCTTACGGGCTTCACCAGCTTTCGGAGTATCGGACAGGTGAAACAGAGAAGGAGAAGTCGGTAAGTGGCGGAAGGAACAAACGGGAATCGTACTATATAATACTATATTAATTATTATCGATATAAATTAATTGTGAGTACCGTACACGTAGGGCGAGGGTAAGTTAACAAAGTACGTTTTATGATTAATCGCGAATGCGGACGGGGACACTTAGAAGACACTACTTGCGATAGAGGTAAAAAATGATAACCGACAAAAAAGGTCGTAAAAGATGTATCAGGAATGACGAATAGAACGATGAGAATTGTAGAGAGAAAGAGA